TTGCTACAGAAAGTAGTTCCACTCTTCAACTAGCAATACAACTGCAATCAAAATGAAACGTAAAGAACAAATACTTTTACCAGATACAATAATTGATGTCTATGCTGTTTATCCTGAAGCGTTTTATTCAAACATGAAAGTTTTATTGAAAATCTGTACAACTCTACCAATGACAACAGTAACTATAGAACGAACATTCGCTGTCTTCAAATTATTGTAGACTTATTTACGTTCGACCATTTCAGAAATAAAACTTATTGGATTAACTGTGATGTATATTTATCGAGATTTAGATGCAAATGTTGATGGTGTGATTGATGAATTTGGAAAATCTAATCGTTGATTGATTTTTTAGATTTACTATATAAAAACGAAATAAAAAATTGTAAGAAAATGAGAACATTATTTTATCTATTTTCATAAAAATTCATACTACCTCAGATGATATAATTTAGAAACCATCACTCCCTCTCTAAAATCCTGGATTCATTTCTGCTACAGAGTACTATATTGGTCTCAATTATGAGATAAATTTTTCATAGTAAAATATATTCTGAAACTGTTTTTTTCTCAATGGATTTAAATTCTTTCTAATAAATAATTCGAATTTACGTATGAAAACGCCTCTACAAACGTTTATAGGTGAAACCGAAAGTCGTAGGAATTACGGCTGGTTCCTATGAGTATTACTGTATACGAGCGAAACGTGCGACATGAGTTGGTTACGCCCACTAGTCACATCTATGTTATAAAAACAAAAATGAAATGCTCTTTTGAAAAATTTTTTTTCCCCGAAATATTTTTTCAATTAAAATAATATTCTATAATTTAATTAGTTAATTTTAATATTTATTACATTTCCTCGTAAATATTTCTATATTGAATTTTATTGGATGATTTCGATACCAATAAAAATCGAGATCATGATGATCAGCTGTAGTATAATCACTTATTCATGGACGAATGTGTGATTGCATATGTGTATACACATAAAAAGAGCTGTTTTTTTTTTCATTTTAGCCTTTATTTAGAGAACAATAATGGCACAAACTTGGGCTGAATTATCACGTATTGCTGATAAAAATAGTCAATATGCAGCTCAAGAAGTAAAAAAAATTTTATTTTATTTTATTTTATTAATATTAATGAATTAAAAAAAAATAACAAATATTTTTGTTTTAATAGCTTGAAGAAGAACGTCGAAAACGTGAAAAATCAAATAGAAAAACTGATAAATCTCAATCAGTTGATCAAACAGCAATTAAAATGATTCTCGAACGAAGACGTCAAATAAAAGAACAAGACAAATTAGCTGGTTAAATTTTATTTTTCAAAAAGCAAAAAAACAAAAAATAAATTTTATTTATTTTCAGAAGAACAACGTTTAAAAAAAGCTAATGAAATAAAAAAACAACAAAAAGCAATTCTTCAATCTAAAACACAAAAACAACAACAACAACAACAAAAACCTATACCACCAAAACCATCTACTACTACTACTACAACATCAATTAATGTTAAAAAAAAGACATCCAATGTTCCCTATAATGATCTTATACGTTATGCAACACTTCAAGCTAATAAACAACCTATACCTAAAGAATTAGCTTATGTTGCTGAATCACTTCGAGCAAATAAATCATTGACGTCATCAACAAATTCTACTATTTTATCTTCATCGAAAAATATTGTATCTACTTCCAAACCATTACAAACTTCAACTAATCTTAAAAAATCAACTACCTCGAAAACGACAACAACGCCAGTAACAAAAACTAAATCATCTATTCAATCGCAATCTAAGTCGACTACATCAGTTCTATCATCGAATAATATAAAATCATCGATCAAATCTACATCATCTTCATCTTCATCTTTATCAACAAATCGAACAGCAAATGGACAAAAATCGACACAAAATCGAACAGTAAATGAACCAAAAAATACACAAAATCAAATGTTCAAGGTACAAAGACTACCAACAAATGGTCAACGATTAACAACACCAAATCAAACAATAAGTGGTCAAAGATCGACATTACCAAATCAAATGACAAATGGTCAAAGACCAAAACCACCAAATCAAATGACAAATGGACAAAGACCAAAACCACCAAATCAAACGATAAATGGACAACGATCGATGCTACCAAATCGAATGATGAATGGACAAAGACCACCAATTGTACCATGTGAGTTTAAAAAAATAAACATATAATTAAAAATATAAAAATATCTCGGCACTTACATGTTCACTAATATTGAAAATTTCATTACTATTACAAACTTTTCAACATTAAGATAAATATTATTAAAACTTAGTATCTCTTCAAATCCTTTCCTCGTACCTCTGATCTATCATATCGAGTTTGTTATTTGTAATGTCAATTGCTATTCAAAATTTTTTCATGTAAAAACAAAGAGATCAATTTTTAATCGCTATATTTTCCCTATAAATACGAATGAGTTTCATATTTTTTATTTAGCTCGAAAACGTCTTGCTATCGATACGGACGATGAAGAAGAAGATGATGAAGGTAAGATAACACAAAAATGACGA